CAAATAACTAACTCATTATATCCACTATTTACATGGATTAGCTTTTGTTGAGGAATCAAAGAACCAAAAAATTGAATTTGTGTGGCCCTATTAAAATTTAGTATTTCCAAATTTTGTAATATTCAATTTTGATGTATTTCATTTTATCAATTCATTCATTCATTCTTATGCCGAGGGGCAGTTATACTGGTTAAACAGATACACATCATTCATTCAGTTAATCATTCATTCATTCATTCATTCATTCATTTAGTGAGTCAGTCAGTTAATCAGTCAGTTATTTATTCCTTCATTCCTTCATTCATGTAGTCAGTCATTTCTTTTTAGTAGTCTTGTCATCCATTCAGTCATTCATTCAGCATAGTCCTACAATGTATATGGATATTTGTTCTATTAAAGTCTATGGATTTCTGAAAGCTAATATTTCACAATGCCAAGATACAATGTATATGATATTTGCTTCATAATAAGAACACATAAGTTGAGCCTCCCAGTGGAGTACTACTAGTAGTGGTTTAAAGGGAACGGGTTTTCTGCGCGTGAAAAATTTGCGCGCGTGAAAAATTTAAGTCCCTGAAATATGTCAGAAAATATGCAGTACAAAATTCTTATGCAGTAAAATGTGATCCTGTGGTATAATTTTCCATCTGTAACTCAAAATTTTTGTTGGAAATTTTAAGTCCCTTGGGAATAGGTTAATTTGCATATTTTCCATAAAATCTGAACATTTGAAAATCACTTGAATTTGTAAGAAATACATGGAAAAGTTACTAGTATGAGGTTTAGGATGGAAAAATGTAACAATCTGAAGCTTTTCTCCATTCTAGAAGCTTGCTTTCATATTTTAGCAAACAAATTCTTTCACGCGCAAATTTCAACCGTTTTTGCGCGTGAAAACTTAACTTTTAAAAATCACTTATTAATAATAATAAAATCACTGAAATATTGACAAAATACAGCTATGTAGTCTAGAATGCAACAAAATGATGTTCAATTCTGTTTTATGTGTTTTTTTCCAACTATTAAGCTTAAAACAGCAAAAAGTTTTTAAAGTCCCTTGGTAAGTGGCTAATCTGCATATCTTCACGCGCAAATTTTTCACGCGCGCGCAAATTTTTCACGCGCACAAAACCCCATCCCGGTTTAAATACTCTGTCAGACCCACTCCATTTAATAGACATACCAGTAACCATGTGGGAAATTGTGCAGAGTGGCTGGCACACTGGTCAATCAATTCAATCTGCAGTGAGATGCTGTAGACTGACTGTAGGATGTGTACACCATGTAAAGTGGTCTCTACTGGGAGATGGTCCAATAGAGACCTGTCCATTTTCATTTTCATATTCATTTTTGAGAATAGGTGCACTGGTGCACCCAACCTGAAAAATTAGGTGCACAAAAAATTTCTTGGGTGCAGCATATTCTATAAGATAAAATAAGTAGAATATCAGCAAAAACTAATTTTGTTTCATTTCAAAGAAAAGAACTATAACTTATAGTATAAGAATGATTTCATGATATTATTTTGACAATTAGATGTTAAGAATATGTTGTATACTACAGTAACTATGCATTTGATATCTTTACATACATAAACCTAGATGAAAATACTTTCAAATTGGTACAGTAAGGTGCACATGCACCCAGTATTTCAGGCCCTGAGCTGTCACTCAATTATTAATAGATATTGAGGAAAATGATTTGTTTTAAATTAGAAATGTCTCTGTTAGAAACTTAGATATAATAGTGCTAACAAAATGAATGTTACTTTTGAATACTTGTAAGGAATCTGCTATTCAGGCAAGAGGCTGTGAGTGATTCTTATTTTGAATAAATCATTCATTCATTCATTCATTCATCCATTCATTCATTCATTCGTTCATCCATTCATCAATTCATTCGTTCATTCACCAAGGGCTAACACAACATGCACTAATTTCAGCCAATGCAATTTCAGTATGATGGCAAAGTATTTTGGGTCATATAAAATCTGTATGATATTCACATTTACTTCCATTTCTTAGTAATCTTACCACATTTTCAACATCATTTCATACTTGAAGTGTTTAAAATAACATTACAAATTACTCGAGTTTGGTAGAAATCGTTTTTGTTTTAGTCATTGACAGAAGATTTGTGCTATGCCATTTTCGGGGTCTGTACATGTATGTGTGTGGTGACTAGTAGATGCACATTAGACTGGGCTTTTCAATCAGTGCTGGTACATTGTAAATGTGTTCCATTGGCATGGAGCTGACCTGGGTTAGCACTGTAGGAGTCAGACAGTACCTCATCTCAATGGATTGAAGCTATTACTATATTAGTATTACACAGTAGCCATTATACTGGCCTGGAGACATTGAATCGATGTACAGTCATGATGCGTATAACTTACTAGTTATAAGAATGTACAAGTACAGAATGACACAAGGGGAATTCAAGAAGTTCTTGGCCTCTGGCCGGACAGGAATTTTACAAAACCAGTTATGAAAAGTCTGGTATGAACACTAAGGGTTTTCGTCTGCTAATTATTTAGCAGTTTCAACCGGTTTTTAAAAGTCTGGTATGAACGGGATATTATATTTCAGGGCACTGTATGAAGGATAAAGTAACTGTTATATTTTATGTGTTTCACCAAAACTTAAATCATTGTGATCATAGATTTGCAGGTGAAGCCATTTTTTTTAAAATCTTGGATCATGTTTTCGATCATTAATTTAGTGTCTGTTTGTGCATTTTCTTGTGTTACCAGTCTGAGAGTTACATTTCATTAGACATGTTGGTGACACTGAGGGGAACTTAAGTCAAAGGTCCAAAAAGGTCTGAGAAAAGTTTATCTCATCTCTTGTCACTGAGGTGTGATAAAGTCCTTGATTTCTTTTTTTTGGTCTAAGTGGAATTAAATGTCTTTGACTGCATGACTGACTGTTGATGTATATCTACTGTAACTTCATTTTTTTTGCAGGTACTTTAAATCCATTTTTTTGCGGTGTCTTAATTGGTAAAAGTAATTATTGAGGTCTCATCAAAACCTACCCACATTCAAAGTTTCATGACAATCCATCCATAGCTTCTTGAGTTATCGTCACAGTGCTAACTGGTACAGTCACATACTTACACCGTACGCACACACAAATGCATAGCCAAAAAACATAACCTTCTGTACATGTCGAAGGTAAAATAACCGTCTCTCTTTGCCTGGCAGCTTTCCCAGTCCATCTACTGAATCCCCATTTTCAGCTCTGTTGCACATATGGATGTCACGGTGTTACAATATATACATCCTGATTGTTCTGTCATATCCATCAGGATAGTCCTGAGCGTGAACATTGATTTTTTCCGTCTCCCGTAATCTTGTGGTGTGTGGTAAGGGCTGGCTGTATTGAGAGGTCAGGGATGATGTAGAGGGAGTGTTCTATCTGGTGTGTGCCATCATCGTTTGTCACCTTCAGGTACTGGAGTCAAGGGGAGGTCAGGCTGGAACTGGGAACCACCACCAAGTGTGGGGAGGCATTGTGGAGAAATTGGAATTAGATTTAGAGCATCCATGGATTTCCAGGGCTACTTTGAAACCATTGGTGTTTTCTTTTATAGTTTTTAGGTGGTATTCACAGGAGTGAATATAGCAAATAAAAGTCCACATACATATATTTGTAGGTCAACCCAATACATGGTGCAGGTTAGGTGCAGGAAGACATCTGATCATGAAATACCTGCACAGCTCCAATTTTACCTGCACTAACCTGCATATACCCAGTACATGGACCAGTGCAGGTTAGGTGCAGGTAGACATCAGAAATACCTGCACAGCTCCAATTTTACCTGCACTAACCTGCATATACCCAGTACATGGACCAGTGCAGGTTAGGTGCAGGTAGACATCAGAAATACCTGCACAGCTCCAATTTTACCTGCACTAACCTGCATATAACTAGTACATGGATCAGCACAGGTTTTGTACATGTGTGCCCAGAACTTTGTGTCAAATCCCCTCTTTTTTGGGTGAGGCCAAGAACTTATACTAGTTATAGGCACATTTTATAGGTGCCCATATACATTACGTAGAAAAGTTTACTTGCAGCTATGACATCTTTTGCCATAAAGCACTTTGATCTCACTTAAGATTTTACTGTAAGAAGTATATACGTAGCATCCATGACAAATGTTCAATCAGCTGTAGTTGCTGAGTGGGACTAAATGGCCAAGTCTTTCCCTGCCATGTGTGTTATTTCACAAATGGGAACATCAATATGAGATTACATCAATGTTTAATAGGAACATCAATATGAGACCACATAGTGATGACTTGTTTAATAGAAACATCAATATGAGACCAGACACTATGATACAGTAATGTTTAGTAGGAACATCAATATGAAACCACATAGTTATGTTTAATAGGAACATCAATATGAGACCATATAGTGATGTTTAATACTATAGGAACATTAAAATGAGACCCGGTCATATCATAGTGATGTTTAATAGGAACATCAATATGAGACCATGCCTGTATGTCCATCAATGTGCACAAGTACCTGAGTGATATATTTATTCATAGAACATCATTTTTGTCAGGACTTTTTAGAATACATTGTATTTTACACCAGTCCTGGATATCTGAAGTGTATATGCCATTATAGTAGATAATTCTTTTCACAAATTTTTATGTTTCCATCTTTGTAGACTCTACAAAATTAGAAGAGTTTATTGTTTTTCTGTAGCAAATAAAAGAAAAATATATTTTCAAACAAACTATACTACTGTACGGGATAAATTACATGTATATCTGAGATTACTTCCGGACGTTTCAAGTAATATCTGTCTCTCTTTTTTAGGGTCACTAAAATTAGTGAGTGTCACTCTCATTGCTCATGTCACTCGAAACATCTGGAAGTGATCCTTAATCTATCCAGTTATAAGGTTTCAATTGTCAGTGAGTGTCTAACCTTCATCAATGTAAAATAAATACCTAATTTGCCTCTTTTTTGTTACTTCAGGGTGAGGAGACGTCCACAGAGCTGAAAAAGAGGATACTTGGAAACTCTGGCACCAGAGAAAGTAAATTCAACGATGCTCCTGACAGAAAGTCTGGATCCAACAGTGACTTTCTCCACCGTAACCCCGCCCTGGAGAACTCTGTACAGAAATACGACTCAGACTCGGAAAAGAAAGCCTCCATATGGAGGAACCACGCCGCACAGAGCAATAAGAGTAGAGACTTTTCTTACGTCCCCAAGTGTGAGATTAAGGGGAAGGATGCTGTCTCGGCCTTGAGTAGAGCGAAGACAGCACAGTGTAAACAGCAGCTGGCAGACACAGCATGTCTGATGCAGGAGGGCAAGCTGTTCCCGGAGTTCATCCCCAGATACTGTCCTGTAGATGGTAAGGTGCATGGGGAGGGGAGTGTAGGGGCACTGTTACACTAGTACTGTGTCCTATCCCATTGGGCTAAAGTTAGTTATAATTGATCAATACTGCCACCTAGTGGAGTGTTTCCAAATTGCAGCATGTAGTTTAACAAAGGAGAGTTGGTTGATGGATGGAAGGGAGGAAGGAAGGATGGATGGAGATGGATGGATGGATGGATGGATGGATGGATGGATGGATGGATGGATGGATGGATGGATGGATGGATGGATGGATGGATGGTTTTTTACCTGGACATAGGCACTGGCATTGGCACTGTTGCATATACTGTGTTCTATTCCATTAAGCTGATAAAGTGACAATGTAGTTACAGTTGATCAATACTGCTACCTAGTGGAGAGTTTGCAAAGTGCAGCATATATAGTGAAACCAATTGGGGGTGGGTTGGTTGGTTGGTTGGTTGATGAATTGTATAATATGTGCAGTAATACATGATTATCACAATTATTTGATACTTTTACCTGAGTGGAATTACATACAGTAGGCATCATACATGTATATGGGTTGTTGGTCAAATTACACCATACTGTGTAATATATCCCGTTGAGCTAGTTACAGTTGATCAATACTGCCACCTAGTGGAGTGTTTGCAAAGTGCAACAATGAAACAAACTGCATTCAGAGACCAGTTTTTAATCTTCCCAAGGCAGTTCTATTCAACAAACTAAACTAATGAATAGAATACAATCACTGTGGAGAAGTCATTTTCATGCACAAAGCTATGAGGAAATATACGCAATATAATTTATTATATACATTTAAGTATACAAGGAGATATCCTGTACTTAGTTCACCTGTAGTCATACAACATAGTTCTATACAGATGTTCACAGAGATAGTTACTGGTATCGGTTTGCGTCCCGTTCGCCCAATCTTTCCAGGGACATCTCTGATTAGTATAATACACACGTGGGATGGCTGCTATGTACCCCAACGTCCCAATATCAAAACTAGGATATTCACAGTTGGTGAAGGAGATCCAGTTGGTTTCAGTGCTACGATGGACCAAGTGAAGTGCTCCGTCGGTTCGTGAAACTGAACTGTCGGACTTGTTTAGCGTCTCCATATTCTCGTGGTCAAAGTTCTTCAACACCCCAGCCGTCACTGCACTACTCTTACACGTGTTGTTAACGAATGTACAGTTCACTACCGTCATGTCAAACTCGTCGGTTTCAATCAGAAGGGGTCCGTCGTTCGCGGCAAAAACGGAGTCGCTGATTTCTAGGTGGTTGCCATGGTAATATAAGGCGCCCGCGAGGTACCCATCATGCACCTTGTTTCCGAGAAACGCGCAGTTCCGGATGACAAGGCGACAGTCGCGTGCCGTGATGGCGATACCGGTAGGCCCTTCCCTCTGCGTTATGTTCTTGAAGACAAAACCGTCAAAGATAACGTTTACGTCCGTTCCGTTTCCATCTATGAAGAAAACAGGCGCGACAGAGCCGCAGTCCATGACTACCCTGGGATCAAGAGCGATGATTGACAGGCTGTGTCGGAGTATGATGGTTGTCTGGGTAAAGTTGTTTGCGGCGTTGCCGCAAGTAAATGTGGATTCGGTATTGTTGAGAAAGGTGTAGGACGAAGCGTTGACGTACACGGTGTCGTTTGGTTGGCTAAGAGAGACGGCATGGCGTAGGGAGTAGCAAGGGTTGCTGGGATTGGTGCCGCAGGTTGGCGTGTCAGCTCCGGACAGGGCCACGTACAAGTCAGAACTGCTGCAACCTGGAGAGGGGGTATTTTAAATTATGATAATTCTGAATCTCTATTTCCATGTTCATGCCCATGGGGCTAAATGCATACATCAGAGTGTGATGTTACAATTGTACATCATACTGAGTAACATGATACATAGGATAGAAAGATATAAGAATAACGTTAGGAAGTTTTAGTTTAAGTAAGAGAGTATTACATTCTGTCTAAAAAAAGTCAGGCCAACACACATGATAATACACTCACAGTCACACATACAGGCATGCGCACATGCATGCACAATCCCTCACACTCACACATGCACACGCACTCACGCACACACACGCATGCATGCACACTCACTCACAGACACACACACATGCACACGCATGCACACACATTGAATACCTCTCCAGTTAATAAATAGTTGCTAGTGACACCACAGTAAGTATATAAGGCAGCCAAGTCAGAGCCTAGCACTTATAATGCCTCATAAAAAAACGTGAGGTCACTGGCAGCATTTAATTGAATTATAAATGGTTGCAGGAAGATCTAACAGAAGGATTCAGTGTTGCCCAATATCAGAAAATTGTAATTTTGGTCCAAACCTCTTTGTTTATTGAATAATGCTATCACAATGACAACTTTCAGGAACTGTATTTCATTGTCATACTGAGTCATGCATAGCAGCTATAGGCTTTAATGTCATCTTTAGATGTTGGTTTCCTAAGTTTTGATCAGAACATTATTTTACAGTTAGCATATTGCACAATTTCATATTTTTCCTGCCATACAAAAATAATTATGTTGCTAAATGCTTTTCACTCAATTAGCTTATGGCACTTGTCTTACTAATAGGTTTTTAATCAATAAATCTAAGTGCAGGTATTAATGATCCACACATGAAACAAAGTAAACTAAGATATCGGTCCTTTTAACTGTTTGACTTGGCTCCAAGGTACAAAGTCAGTACAAACACATCATAGACCAGTGGGGGGCCTTCAAATTCCACTAGGTTTTGTATAACATATTTAATAATATACAAAACCAAGTGGAATTTAGGCTAATTTAGGTTAATTGATGCAATGGGTGAAAGCTGCCAACATGTTTAAAACCTGGTAACACAATTATGCTCGGTAACGAGCTACTGCCGATGATAACATTAGGACAAATTGACAATACACAAAGTCAGTTTTCTGATCATTTCTTTACACTTAAAGTAAGTTGAATCAACCCTACCCCAGTTCAAAATAAGTGCCATTTAGAAAGTGGAGGTGCCAAAATATGATGGCTTTTCGTGCATGTTTAAAACCTGTTAACACAGCTTTTAGCCATGTTTGTTTACATTCTGGTAATTTGTGGCATGTGGACTGTTTTAGTGCCAACCATGGATTTCAGAAAAATGAGATTATTGTACAAATATGTGGAAGTAAATCACAATATAATATATTACATGAATTCCTTCAATTAGATTAGAAATTTTAGATACTGTGCCTTTAATGCATGCATGTAGAAACCACCTGTTAACATAATATAATATGTATAAGCCAAAAGTTTGATTTGTTTTTTTCCACCACTGTACTGTAACAGTATACAATGTATTTACTTCATAACTAAGGGAAGTCCACAACATGGATTTTGACATTTTCATGCAACTATAGACAGATTAAGAAAAAAACAAACAAAAAAACAATAACTAGGAATCGAGACAAGGAGTACCGTTTAATACTAAAAGTACATGTGACCTTTAAAAGAAGTTGAGTTCTTTGAGAACCAATTGAAGAAATGAAATTGCTCTTGCCTAAATTTTGTTAAATTCCCAAATTAGATCATTGAAAACTTGAAACAAAACCTTACCTGAAAGTAGTGCTAGTAGAAGTAGACCTAGATGTGTAGCCGTGTGTTGTCCCATTTGTTATATACTACAGCCTCTTCAGCACCTGTTTAACTAACATTTCTCCACATCATGGCACGTTGCTAAGGCTGTCAGCGGTCTAGGTAGAAGACTCAGGCACTGTTGATAGATGCTCCGTCATTCTAGAAATAAAAGATCTACCAGTCAAGAATCTGTGGACAAAAAACTCAACATAGTATAAAATTTTAGACAACGTATCTTTGCACTATTGGTGTCATCACTAATAATTACTATAACGTCTGACAACTGTCCAGACTCCTTTGCAGGCTGAATATAGTCTAGTAGAAATCGACCTAAAAAGGAAAATATAAGGCTAATTTGCCTTTTGATCGTTGCGACTTCTCAAACTCATTGCAGGCAACTTGGACCCTCCATGGCCGGCTAACTCCTCTGCCCACAGTCCTTTTTAGGCCAATTTCTACTATTTATCCAGCCTGCAAAGAAGTCTGTTGGAGACTAACAACTGTCAGTCATTGTTAGTTATGGTTGTTGTCAACAGAGAATTCAAACAATGAGGGTTTACTGAGAGACAGACTGCCTGTAGCGGTGGCTGGCACTACGCGGCCTTTCTTCTCTAGTGAAGCGTCAGTTTCCTGTGTTTGTTGTAGGTTCAAAGTGTAAGGCCACACATTAGTCAGTTTTCTGGATGACGTCCTCAGGAGACCCTAAATCTAATAATGCGAGAGTGGGAAAAAGAAACAAGAGGGACAGAAAAAGCATTAAGATATTTGCCTTGATTTAAAATATACCAAGGGACAACAAATGTTAGGACACATTAAAGGTGAATGAAAGAGCACAGCATAACAACCAACTTTTATTTGACTGTCATGAAAGCAGCAATACATCAGTGGAACAGCAGTTGTGGTCCTGTTCCTTAAAGTTTCCTTTAAAGAGTTGATGACACAAAAAAATATCGGAAGTGTACATAAAATATAGAGTCACTTGATGTTGTTTCATTCATGATATCTGAAAAATTGAGTTTGTACGGCCTTCTGTGAATCTCCAGCAAGCTCCCCAATTGCCTGCCTCAGGCATCCCTATTTGCATCTCTATGTTTTATTCTTTATTTTTTATACAAGAAGCGGAATTTCTTTTTTTTAATATCTGGGAACAGGCCAAAATCAATGCGTGTGTGGACGTCATCCATAAAACTGACTTGATGTGGCTAAGCTGATATTACCCTGCTGTATGTGACAAGTAAACCTTGTCACGCCCGGGGCACAGCGGATACTTGATAAGGACTCAGCAGGAGATCTGGACTTGTCAGTTTGTGTCTGTAAGTTCACTCAGGTGGATTATAAACATGAAGAAAAGAATGAGCTCCTAAATACATGTAGGTGGAAGGAAAAAGTAGACTAAGTATAAAATATTATTACATATAATTATCTAATGCTTGCTAAATATATATAATTATGATATTCAAGTTTGATCATAATTCCTTATAGATATTTTGTGAACTACATTTTCAAGCAAGAATGTTTAAATTGTTCCATACATGTTTAAGTACTAAATGATAGTAAAACAATCACATCTAAATATTATTATTATATTGTGGAAAAAGCTATGTTTAAAACTAAGATAAAGTTTTTTATGCACCTCCCCAAAAGTCTTATATTAGGTAATTCCGAAAAAATAATTTCATCAGGTTGGTAAAACATTTTTTTAAGGATTTTTTAGTTTTCTTTTACACAATCAGTTAAGTCTCTCACCTGCTATGCTCAATGTCAGTGAGTCAGTTAGCAGCGAGTAGCAGTTAGCAGCGAGTAGCAGTTAGCAGCGAGTAGCAGTTAGCAGCGAGTAGCAGTTAGCAGCGAGTAGCAGTTAGCAGCGAGTAGCAGTTAGCAGCGAGTAGCAGTTAGCAGCGAGTAGCAGTTAGCAGCGAGTAGCAGTTAGCAGCGAGTAGCAGTTAGCAGCGAGTAGCAGTTAGCAGCGAGTTAGCATTGAGTATAGCAGTACTCCAGTCAGAAGCTTTGAGGAAGATGTCTGACAGGCATCGAATATAAGCAGGTCAGAGTCTTAACTCCAATTTCCAAGGAAACCTGTCAACACAAGAACAAAGTAAGATGCCAGTTTGAGTGCATGGAAGTTTTAAACAGTCAGTCCTGGCATGCATGTATTTACCCTGGAGTACTAAAGGCTCAGATAACCATCATCACTGTCTTAAGTTCACCTGATGATCCCTCACACCTGGTTGTAAACTAACTGAACAGGTAAAGTACAGATCTCAACTTCTACACGCATTCAAATTTTGTAACATATTTAAAAAAAGTCCATGGGAACGTGAGAAATTTATCTGGCAACATTGAATCCCCTTGACTTTTGCAGGGGTTGAAATACATTTTGGAGTTAACTTGCACTGAACTTGCAGATGAAAAAAATGTACTTGTGCTCCAAAACAAAAATACAGTCTTGCCTGCACCCCCCAAAAAAATAGGTACTACACAACCAAAAGTACATGTAATAACTTAAGAATAGTTAATAATAATTACACAATGTAATATACACTCTGTCACAACGTCTTGCTAATGACTACATCATTCAAAACTAGATTAAATTCAAAAATAAATTAGGAGAATCTTTAGGCTTAGTTTCTGTAAACTACTGGTTTTGTTAATTTACCTTGATAATGTTTCAGTTCTTTTTGAAAAAAATGAGGGTATTTCTACACTAGTATTAAACTTGCTTACACCGGTGCACACAGGTAAAAATTAGGTGCACAGGACCAAATTTATGTGCACCAATTTGCACACGAAGGGGTATTTCAACTCTTGTTAAGAAAACTTCCATAGTGAAGTATACTTTAAATTGTTTTGCTAAACATGTACATGACATACAGCAGCCATCTTTGTGGTCACAATTTGTCCACATAAGGACCAATACAAAACGTACAAATTGTAGCTAAGGACAAAAAAGATCATGAAAGCAAGCAAACTCACTTTACTACGGATTCGATGGTTTCATCTATTTTCAAAATATACAAAATGTAGACAACGAAAACCATATAATTATTACTTTTCTTGAAATTGCCAAAAAATAGTCAAATCCTAATAATGCAGGCATTTCTTACTCAGTGTAGACTTACAAAGAGTAAGAAATATAAAAAAAAATAATGTACAAGAAGGAAGGTTCTCTTGATCATCATCAGATTCAGTTTGAATTAACATGATTTATGATTACAAATTAAACGCTGAATCATAGAATCATAAGAAAATACAAGTGTTTTTCTAACTGTACCTGTGTCAGTATCAGCCACCAGTAGTCAGGCATTTCTTACTTTAAACTTACAAATGGTACATGTAGGTACACTGTGCTTTTAGAAATCAAATACACACAAGAAGAAGAAATGTCAACTTGATCACTCTCTGTTTGAATTGAAATCATAATTTGTGATTACAAAAACACCCTATCTATGCTTGAATCTTAAGGTTGGAAAAAAGTGTTTTTATGTCCTTACCTGTGTCAGTATGTGCTTCCTTCCACTCTGAAGCAAATGTGTCTCACGCGTTCCCGACCTGACAGCTGTCTGCACTGATCAATAAAGGGTAAACCTTACCTCCCCACACTGTACAAACATCCCCGCTCACTCTCACAGCTCTCCTTACCTCCCTCCTGGTGGGTAAGTGTGAGATAAGAGGCTGTAGTGCTTGCACAAGGCCAGGTTATGGTCCTGCTGACAGCAGTAGTCATGACAGGGCATAGGGAAAAAATGTTCTGTTTCCTGTTTCAGTCCTGAAAAAATTGTAGGACAGTAGGGATATCTTCTTTTTTTAAAGTTTTTTTTAGACTTTGGCAATCTCTAGTGATCCAACTTATACATTACAGTTTTAACACTTAAACTAGTTATTTAAAGAATTTAGCTAGTATAGGTCTTAATCAACTCTAAAATGCTCAATGAAAGACATGTTTTGGCCCAAACAGTTGAAGAAACTCCTTTTCTTCCTAGTTGTTGAGGGTTTTTAATGTGACAATGCAACTCATTTCATGAAACGTCTTAAAATCTAATTGCTTTTAATTAAAATCAGCCTCGTATGTTGACTTCATGGCTCTTATTGTAACTTTTCCGGCTATCATGGGGTGCCTTGCCCTGTTTTTTTTATTTCACCCTGTTGCTCAATATTTTTTAGGAAAAAAAAACTGAGGAACAACAAATTGGTGTAGCCATAGGGAGAAAAGAATATTTTCCCTTGCAGGAGTACCCCAAAAAAGTCTAGGGTCCGTTGGGAAACAGGAAACCCAACGTTTTTTTCCTAGGCCCAACAAATCAATCTCTCCAGTAGAGTAGAATTCTTTTTTCCCCAGCCAGGGATGGAATGGTATTTATAGAATCAGTGTGCCAGGTGTGTTGGTGTACCCAAACATCTGGTTCTACCAACAATGGTCAACCTGATTTAAACCTCTTTACAATGTTTGGTTTTCTTCTCTTTGAACCCTAATATTTCACTAAATCATTCTTAAAGGCACTTTAAAGGCACCGTTTTTTTGTCTTCATGTGTTTGAAATGTTTTCAAGAAACAAGGAGTTAAATTTGATGTTTTCCTGGTTTCTAATGGTGGAAAGACTTGCTTAATAGGTGAAAAAAGATGAACTTAACCAATTTCTCTACTAATGCATATACTTAAGACATCCAGGTGTTCAAAACATTTTGCAGATATTAAAAGATTTGATTCAGATTTGATTTAACCCTTGTCCTGCGGAGCCCAACAGTAATAGTTGTTTAAATTTGCACATACAGTTTATAGAACTCTGACAGAGTCTAAGGTACAATTTGGGGGTATTTCTCGTGCAAAGCATCACACCGCATAGAAACGCAACAAATGCGCAAGTAAATATGCCTCCACAGGGCAAAAAAAGACTTGAAATTACAAGGGTTACAGGATTACAGGACATTAGGGTTAATCATGAATTACATGTATTATGGTAGATTTTTGTTGTGTCACCCTTAAAATACCCTACAGAATTAGAATTATGATCATTAGTAACAGTGTTGATATAATCTTTCTAAATGTACATAAAGCTAATCTAAGAGTATATTACATGGTTTACAAAAACCTGACCAATACTGTATCATTATAATATACAAAGACATGTTATTTTTTTAAACTCCAAGTTTCCTCTGTGGATCTTCCAAGCTCCAAGGAAGATCCACAGAGGCTTCGTACATGTAATTTTACTTAGTATAACTGTTACTAAACAGTAACTTTGTTTATTCCTTGTCAGGGCATACCTAATATTGTGGCACTGGCCAAGGTCTAACTGGTACTGCCATTGCAGAAAGATCACTAGCTACTGTGATTTAGTACTGAAACATACTTTATTTTAATGAATATCATTTCTGTCAATGTTCTTTAATATTTGAACAAAAGCTGTAAGATGTGTGTATTATTATGTAATAATAGACTTAGTCTATGAAAATGCTGGAAAAAACATCAACATTAAAATAACTACTCTGCACTTATCTAGATTAAATGTACTAAATGAGCAAGTTGAACTGTTTTAAACACTGTTGTTTTTCACACTATACATGATGTTGCATTTTCCTAAAATTAAAATTTCAGGTTAATGATTTTCAAGTCAGAAACATTGAAATACATGTAAAGAGGTGTACCTAAAACAAGCAAATATTAACCATAACTAGTAACCTGAAATTTGGGTAACACTGACGTGTAGAAAATTTCATGTAATAATTTTATGCATCGTTGTATTCACCACTCAGGAAAACCTGCGCACAAAGTGCCCATGGAGGAGGACTACTTCCTACATGGTCGTACTCCTGTCAGGATTGCCTTTGTCATGGTGGTACATGGGAGGGCCATCAGACAGGTCAAGAGACTACTCAAGGCCATCTACCATCAGGACCACTACTATCTCATCCATGTAGACAAGGTTAGTACCACCAGGACCACTACTATCTCATCCATGTAGACAAGGTTAGTACCTTCAGGACCACTACTATCTCATCCATGTAGACAAGGTTAGTACCATCAGGACCACTACTACATGTATCTCATCCATGTAGACAAGGTTAGTACCATCAGGACCACTACTATCTCATCCATGTAGACAAGGTTAGTACCATGAGGACCACTACTATCTCATCCATGTAGACAAGGTTAGTACCACCAGGACCACTACTATCTCATCCATGTAGACAAGGTTAGTACCATCAGGACCACTACTATCTCATCCATGTAGACAAGGTTAGTACCACCAGGACCACTACTATCTCATACATGTAGACAAGGTTAGTACCATCATGACCACTACTATCTCATCCATGTAGACAAGGTTAGTACCACCAGGACCACTACTAGTACTATCTCATCCATGTAGACAAGGTTAGTACTACCATCAGGACCACTACTATCTCATCCATGTAGACAAGGTTAGTACCATCAGGACCATGATCATGTAGACAAGGTTAGTACCACCATCAGGACCACTACTATCTCATACATGTAGACAAGGTTAGTACCATGATCATGACCACTACTATCTCATCCATGTAGACAAGGTTAGTACCATCATGACCACTACTATCTCATCCATGTAGACAAGGTTAGTACCATCAGGACCACTACTATCTCATCCATGTAGACAAGGTTAGTACCATCAGGACCACCACTATGTCATCCATGTAGACAGGGTTAATACCATCAGGACCACTACTGTCTCATCCATGTAGGCAAGGTTAGTACCATCAGGACCACTACTATCTCATCCATGTAGACAAGGTTAGTACCACCAGGACCACTACTATCTCATCCATGTAGACAAGGTCAGTACCATCAGGACCACTATCAGGTACATTCCATTATGATGATCAAGTTAATTTCGTTGTGTAATGAGCATAATGAAACATACATTTTATATACAGTAGCTCAGCTCAAGTTGAAAGTGATTCCGATATTTCACGGTTTTCACACAGGTCTTTTCTTTACAGGAGAATCCAAAATTGTTTTTACTAAGTAAACTCTACATAAGGTTACCGAAAATGGCTCCATCAGGTCGGTGAAGTATAGAATACAAGTTAGAGTTTTATTTTACACAACCAACGAAGATATTTACCTTACTGACGTTTCGGTGTCTATTAGACACCTAAGAGCTTCTGACTGGAGTTCTGCTTCTCGCCGCTATATATACATTGTAGCAGATGTAGGTGGCGCTTTTGTGTAGGTGGCGCCCCTCGTCCAGGTTCAAAAGTACTAGTGACTATATCGGCTATATATATATAGCGGCGAGAAGCAGAACTCCAGTCAGAAGCTCTGAGAAATGTCAGTAAGGTAAATATCTTCAAGTTGGCTGTGTAAAAGAAAACTCTTGTATACAGTAGATAATTAAGGTTAGTACCCACCAATAGGACCACTTAGAAGCATTGTCCTGTGTACTTGCAGCGGTCCCACTACCTGCACAGAGAGCTGCAGGAAGCCTTCAAACCCTACCACAACATCCGCTTCACGACCTGGCGCATGTCCACCATCTGGGGCGGGGCCAGCCTGCTGCAGATGCTGCTGCGCTGTATGGACGACCTGCGCGCCATGTACGACTGGAGATGGGACTTCTTCATCAACCTCAGCGGAACAGACTACCCAACCAAGTAAGGAGGATTGCTTTACTTGTTTAGAGTTAAAACTTTTGGTCCAACACAAAAAAATTCTCTCACCTAGAGCTTTCGACCAGTCACTCTGGTCTTCTTCAGTAGACTGACCCAGTGAGGCTTGTCACATGGCTTCTTTCCAGTGTGACCTTAACACTGGGTCAAAGCTCTAGGTGAGAGAACGTTTTTGTGTTGGACCAAAAGTTGTCAACACAGATGAACTTTCATGATAGTATGATTGGTTACTGTTAACACTGTCATATATTTAGGTAAAACTAAAGGTCCTAGAGCTTTTCACTGACAGGCAATAGACTGTCACAGTGCTTTGGGTTGTTAAATGCACCAAATGCACTTGAGGGCTGCAGCAAAACTGGATTTTCAAGTTCAATTCTGTGATCGTTCTTTAGTAAGACATCAGATAGTAAAATCAATGCTATCCCAAAATGCATGATATCTGCATGGCAGAAATGCGATGTCTTTGAGTTTGACATGATTATGGCAAGCTTGTTTCGATCCTGTTGTCTAATAGGTACAATGTATTTGGGGTACTTGAAATAAAGACTCCTCACATGACTTGTTTGGGATATTTCAAACACTTTAAGACTTAGTATGGAAATGATGATGAAAATGTGCAGTAATGTCAATAGCAGACAGATTTCCTCATCCAGATCTGAATATATTTTCTTTGCCACACTGAAATTGCACTGGATGCCTTTAATTAATCCACTGTGTATAGGTCAGTAGTGGAAGGAACCCATGGCCAATGGGGATTGATAAAATTATGATATTATTAAGTTACTCTACTAAACTACATGTATTGTGTCAGTCATAAATGATTGTATTTTCCTCTTTACTCCAGACCTATTGACCAGCTGACAGCTTTCCTGACTCTTCATCGTGAAGAAAACTTCCTCAAGTCTCACGGCAGGGACGACAACAGGTCTTTAGGAAATTCAATTATGAATTTTTCTACAGTGCTTAAGTGTATGAAATACATGTAGGGAATAGGAGGTTTTGTACAAACCTCTAAAGTTTATTTCTCTCGTTAGGCCTCACCAATTTAATTTGTTGTTTGTCAGATTTTTTCAGAAAAAATTTGAAGCAACAGGGCAAAATAAAAATAAAAAAAAAAACAGACCAAGGCACCCCATGATAGCCGGAAATGTTACAATTATATAAGCCATGAAGTGAAAAAAAAATTGGACACAGTCAGGGCGATTCGAGAAGCAACAACTTAAATTGGCGTGGCCTTAATATATGTTAGAAATAGGCCCACCATGCATAACTTTATACCAGTCCTTTATAAGTTAAACTTGCAAACATGAGTTACTGGTTTCCTGTCTAACTGGAAGATGTTAATTTTGTCCACCTTTAGCTCTAAAGCAACGGCGTCAGGAATTCGAAGTGAACCATACCGTAATAACAGGTGACAGACTGAACCTTGAGGTGGGGAGTAACTTGACAGTACCTCTTGGTGGAGGGCATTATATTTACACGGGCAACGTTATCATACAAGGAAACATTCTGCTTGTTCACAAAAAATCTGGCTCAAGATAGAGGTGGAGAGAACTTTGGTGTTGCTTGAGAAATGGTGGATGGAAGGTGTACAGTCATGTAGCAGTGGTATGGTGGTTGTCAGATGTACATTGCACGTAGCCAGCAGAAACCCATCCTATTCCATAGGTCCATTCCTGTTTGATGTCCAAATAGAAGATAGTCTGGTACTGGTCCTCATTGAAACTGGGACCTAGTGTTAACTTCTAGCCAGTCTTCCTCTTTCGTCACTTGATGGAATTTTGCTGCTCATGACAAAAATTTTGCCCAATCCATAAGCCTTGATGGACAAAAATCAGCATGTAAAGATATGGCAACAGACTAAACAAATTTTTGACTATCAGCAAATGTCGCCCCCCCCCCATAATGCAGCAAATGTTTCAGGGGGGTCAAGGGTGTCCACATTTTCCCGGGGAAGCGTGCGCACAGACCTCGGCTTAGGATTATTTTGCCTTGTACTCAACACGTCATGCGTTAAGTACATGTCAAAATTGGGATGATCAGGAAGAAATTTCTGGCTGACTAGAACTTGTATACTGTGTGAAACACAGTGTCACACTATTGAATGGGAAAGCAATCAGAACAGTGGACAAGAGTTGGAATAGGATGGATTCCAGGCTGGCAATAGCTCCTGTTATAGAATGAGGTGAACACTGGTGTCAGTTGAACACATAGAACAACGTCCTGACATTGTCCTGTTAGTAGAACTTTCATGGATCAGTCAGTGTGATTGGTTTTGAAAGGTTGCACGTACCTCCTACATTGTAGGTAGTGTGTGAAGGTACGTGTTTGCTACCTTTCAAAAACAGTCACTGATTGATGAATGTCTTACAAACAGTTAATCTATATGTGACTGATGAACCTCTTCAATGACACTTCAATGACACTGTCCTGTTTTGCCATCCATCAGGTTCATTAAGAAGCAGGGTCTGGACCGGGTGTTCTACGAGTGCGACACCCACATGTGGCGACTCGGAGACCGCAAGATTCCGGACGGGATCCTGATCGACGGCGGCAGTGACTGGGTGGCGCTGAACCGCGCCTTCTGCGACTACGTCACGTCCTCGGACGATGAACTGGTCACTAGTCTGAAACACTTCTACAAGTACACACTTCTCCCTGCAGAGGTGCTGTCTGTTTCTTAGAATCTGCTGATGTCAAAGGCTTTTATTCATCTAGGAGAGCATGTCAGCAGAACTTACTGTGCCTGCGGTGAAACTCGTAAATGTATTTTGCATAGCACACTTCAGCAGGCTCATTTTAGGTCGTATTCATGCAATTAAGGATCATCATTCTGATAACACTGGTCGCATCAATTTTGGAAAGTCACAAGGCATTTGGAAACTCAAGTAAAAATTGATTTTCAACATTCAAGTTTCACATCAGTGTGTAGCTCTTGGTGTAATGAGCACAGTGATTTGAAAATTATTGTTCTGCAGTGTTCATAACTTAAGATATCATTAATAATAAATACAAGCAGACCGGTGGTCTTTCCTAACAGCCCGTCAGGCCTAACAACTAGCCCGCAAGTTTTAATTACAGGACCTTCGGTCTAAAGGCACCAGACTACAGGTGTAGAATCCCAGCCCGCGGGCTGATTTACTCAAAAACCATTCAGACCGTCAGCCTAACTTCAGCCCGCGGTCTGGAATTTCTGGTCAAAGAGGTGCAAAAAGCCCAAAACAATGGCATGGAAGGCGTGAATTGATTGATGTTTGCAGACTGTCTGTGCCAATTTCAGCCTGGTGGGGTAAGGATTCAGACCTCACGGACTACATCTCAGCCCGCGGTCTGATCCAAGTGATGTGTAAAACTTCATTCTCAGAGCAGAAAATAAGGAAGGAGAGCATAATCCACACCCATCTGTTAACAGTGTTGTACATTTTTGCCACTTTCAACCTCATTCACTCACTCAATCACTCAGCTTCGCATGCTCTTTCCACTACATGTAGACCACAAAAAAGAAAGAAGAGCTTACAAACACGTTCTGTACCAGCTAGGGGTAGAAAATGAAACAATTTTTTCTCATGAGCATCCTGAATGTCATTGAAGTTCAGTTCAGTTCAGTTGAAACATTGGGAAAATTATGTTACAGACAGTTTTGCCAGACAAAATTCTAGTACTATATAATATGAGCAAGAAGCCTAATACATGCATTGCAACTTAAACCTGCTTTCAAGCAATGGAGTTATAAAATCCTCAGTCCATTTCTGTTCAACCATGGTTCAACAGTTCTCAGGTAATTATTCTGATCAAGGAACAATTGTTATGCGGGATGAAACTAAGTTTAGCTATTGTTCTTGACATGCAAATGCCACTGTCCAATTATCAAGTTGGACTATTGTTGAGTTACACGTCGAATTACAGTACCCCTATCTGGGCAGCTTGACTACTGGGTCACCCAGTAGGAGCCTGAAAAGATAGACCATCTTAAAAAATAAAACTAGGATTCTCATCATTAATTCTTGTTCATAATCTAAATCTAATCTAATCATAATACTACAAACTAGTTGAGGGATAGAAAGATTTGGCCAAGACATGGTTCTCAACGTGTGAACCCATGCCATCTGACACTGTCATTATATACAATGTCATAAGGTTTTCTGATTGGATATTTTTTCGGGCTATTGAGCTACCCAGTGCAAGCTGCAAAGACCATGTCACCCATGTCTGGGTACTAGTAGCCCGACCAGACTCTCTAATTTGATAATTGGACAGGTATGAATGATAACATGCATGGAAATTAATTTTGAAAATTTTCTTCCTGCAGGAAATTTCTGCAGGAAAAACCTACTAAGACATTGTAGATTCCTGCAGATAGAATCCTTCCTAGAAATTTCGGCAGGAATGACT